TGAATAAGTTTGCGAGTGAAGGAATATTTTTTAGTACTTTGATTTGTGTATGAGCTTAATTGTATTTCACCCCCTTTTCGTCTCTATTATTAATGCATAAGGAAAATACCCACCCACATCGGTTTGGGGCTAATTTTACGCTCCTCAAATTCCGCATTATGAGATTATTACGTTCCGGTTTTGAGGTTGAGCTTTGCAAGGAACCAGCTGCCGTGAATTTTAACGTTTGTGGGAAAATAAATAAATTTATGTTGTGACCTTATTTTCCAATGGTTTTCAACCCAGGAATGGAGGATTTCATTAGATAAGGAGACTACCGTCAACAATACATGTTGTTAGAGCCATTAACAAATGGGAACGTAAATCGCAACTCACTACTATCAGCAATTCAATCTGGGATTTTAGCTTTGCACATGCAAATTAGTGATGTTGCAGCCGCAGAATAAACTGCTCAACATGCTGATTTTGCCAGGGATGGGAAAAATCATGTGAAAACTGAGTCGATACTTAATTTATTGTTTAAATATACCCTAAGAAGTTAAAAAGCTATTTTTATATAAATAATTTTTAATAAAAAAATTTAAGAAAGAAATATTTTTTAAAAACGGAAGTTAAACACAAAGTTTTAGTTTTTTTAAATTTTTATAACAGATTAATTTACTTATCGGCCGAATTAAATTGCCAAGGTCGATACCTTATTTTTCTTGGTTTTCTGGTTGGACTATTTGTGCTTGGTTGTGTAACAGGTTCTTTTGTTTTCCACTGTTCGACGACCTTATCCATTAAACTCGTACAGCTTTCCGGCAAAGTCAAAATGATGTTCTGCGAACTTGGTTCAATCTGCCGGATACAAACCAATAGGTTGTGCAGGTTTTTATCATTATCGTCCAGCATCCGATACGCTGTCAGTGTTTTTTTAATTTTAATATTTATTTTCTCTTTAAGCGATGTTATATTTTACCAGCTGACAAATCTAGGCTCCCACTGAGCAAAATCAGGATTAACGCCAATTTACCTCCCATCTCAAGAGAACCGACAGGCGATCAATTGCTAAAATCCATCTTATCGCCAGCTTTTTAACAAGGTAGTAAATCCATTTATTAATTTTCATAACAAATGAATTGGATTCACTTATGAAAGTAAAAAATATTTGCAATAAAGTGCATTAAAGTAATGATAATAAATATTACTTATTTTACTGCCCAGTATCAGCTTTTTTAACGGTATGGTTGTCCTTTTTTTTTGAAAACAAATTAATTTGGTTTATTTGTATTTAAAAAAATATATTTTACCAATTTTTTAAATCAATTTATAAAAAAATTTTAAATTGATTGGATTTTTTTTTTCGTTTAGGTGAGGGCCAAAAAGAAATTTCCATCCCTGATCAACTATCGAAAATGGCAGGGCGAGCATGAGCGGAACCAAACCGCGAATCTCTAAACCGAAACCAAATTTTAAATGCATGTAATTGTTATATAGAGTAGCGTTAGGCAAACAAAATTTGCGTCACTTTTGTGGCTACACCTGTGGTTGTCAGCGGCAGGTGTTTCCCTCGTCCTGTGCGCTGCACTTTCCAGCAAATAAATTATAAATAAAACACATCGACATCCACACGAAGTGCCGTCATGATTTTGCTGAACGCCACACAAGCTCTTTGCTTGTGCGGGGTGACCAGATTAAATATATCCCTTTTTTCGGCGTCCCCTCAACGCTGCGGATGCTTTATTTATGCCATGAATAAATGCAAATTTCCCAACGCCGCAGCAGATTTTGCAACATATGAGAAAGAAAAGCGGATGGGAGCGAGGCAAAACGGAAAAGAGACTCCATAGCGTGTCCTTTGCATAATAATAACTTGTAAATGTCATGTAGCGTAACCGTGTCCTCTATCAAAAAATGCGAAGAAAAAATAGGGAGTTGAGTTCTCCATTTGGGATCGTGTGCCGTATGCGAATTAGCATTTAATATGGGCATAGGGCCAGAATTATAAACATTGCTAATACGCCCGAGTGTCTTTAAAAGGAAATGCCCAGCTAAGTAATTGAACTGATTGCAAGGTTAAAAGAAACTGCAACAAGTTCAAAGAGAATAAATAAGCTCTAATGAACGCAAAGAGAAATGTAAACATTCCTCTAAACCTCTGTTTGCTTTTTCATGAAATCGGGCGATTAGTTTAACTCCTCAACCTTTGCAAACCGTTTCAGCGCCACTAATTGACCGGAAACGAGAAAAATTGATTTATTTGCCTTGGCTCAAGGCCGTCTCGGGGTCGTTATTGTGATAAAAGCTGGGGACATAATCAATGGCAATTGATTGGTCGACAAGAGATTTCCGTAAGCCAAGCAATTTGTAAATTATATTTTGTGCAATACAAACAATTTGGCTTGCCATGAAAAATGAGAAATTTACCAATGAAAACAGCAAAGGGTTTTTCAATATAAGCAACTTATTCAATGTGATATTTACATTTTAATTATGTTTATCTTTTAATATATACCCATTAAAGATTTTTTAAAAATATTCTGGTTAACTGCTAAGATGTTTTACGAATCTAACAAAATAAGTATTTTTAAAGGTTCCATGGAATAAAATCAATTAGTTGGCATAGACCATGCAATGTTGTCATTTGCTTAGCCAGCAAATGCCTAACAACCCAAGCACAATCAACTTTCATTTCCCGTTTTAGTTGGCATTAAATCGGAAATAAGAGGAACTTTAATTATTTATGGGCCTGAAGGAGTCTCAACCACTCAATGGCATAAAATGGCAAATTTGTTGCCAACCAACAGCTCACACTCGCCGGAAACATTGGGCGATTTTTGCATTGGCAAGCGCTTTTTGCCCAAAGACAGCGAGCCACTTGTGTGCGATACGTTTGCAACAAAGACAGAAACGAATCTCTGAATGGGAGGAAGAAGACAGTCATATACGGAGAGCCATTTGAAAACTATTACGCCCAGGAGATTCATTCAAGTAGTGCGGCATTTATAACTCAAATGTTGCCCAAGTAACAAAAAGCCTAAAAACTCGAGCGCAGCAGCAGGAGTTCAACTGTGGCGAAGGATTTAAGCCCACAAATAGTGATGAGCAATTTAAAAACAAAAATTAAATTTATTACAATTATTATTATTTTTGCCTACATTTAAAGTAACTATTCAAATAATTTAAAACACAGAATAATTGGTATAATTCCATGTTCTTACAAAGCTACATATAAACTGATTTAGAATATTATTCAATTTTGATTATTATGATTATTATATGTTAAGATTTTTATTTAAATTCCTAAAAAGTTTATTTTTGAATAAAACTATTTCTTAAAACTTTATTGCCCAAATTTGCTTGTGATACGATTGTTAGGATTCTGAATTAAAAACCTATGCGTTAAATTAAAAAAGTTTATAAATGTATATAAATGTTTTTGTGAAAAAACTTTGATATTTTACCATTTCAGATCCTTGCACAACTAAAATGGACTGAAGCCTCGAGGTATGCCAAGAATTCCACGCAGAATCAATAATGGCACTTCCTGATAAATTTCAAATCGCTACTGAAACTTTGGCATCTCTACCAAAGGGAATAACGAACTATGGCAGGAAGATGAAGAAACTGTGGAAACATCCGAGGCAATGCTAAAAACGGCAACACACAAAATCGCATTTTCTGTGCTTGCTTTTTATTAGAATGTGTCCATGGAGACGTGGGCGCCAGCCATTGTCTGGCTGCCTTCCCCATGAATCTCTATCGTTCTTTGCACGAGTATATATTGTATAATATATATTGTGCCTCTGCAGTTTGCCATACATTTCTTAGCACGTAGTTATCTATGGCAGCAACTAGAACAACAATGCCACTTGAAACAACAATAAAAAGTTTGTTGAAAACAGAAAAAACCTAGATACTCGTATATGTGGAAAACTCCCAATGCCGCCATAAAACTAAAAGAGGTAAATCCCAGATATTAGGTATGGACGCAAAATCCCTCACTTGGTGGCAAAAAACATCAAATGCAGAATGACTTATTCTGTAATGCGCTGGAAAGCTACTAATATTACTAGTATTAGCCTGTCTGTAATATTTTTGTAAACCTTTTTTCAATAGCTTTCTTTTGGAATATTATTTTTATCAGTTATAGCCTTTTGATGTTAAACAAAAAATACATTCTTCAGTGTGCTCCCAGGAGGTAATGAGTTTTTAGCAACTAGCTTCACAGACCTTAGTCAATGCAAGCAGAGTATTGTTCTTACTGATAACTATCTCTCTATCGCAGTACTAAGAGTTGTGAGTCTTAAAATCCTTCCACTAGAACCAAAAGCTCACTGAGAAAAATCAGGAATCACATCTCAAGTTAACCGTCAAACATCTAGTGTAAATTCTATCTTGCCGAACATTTCTATTGTTGCATTCGATCCACATGAACTTTCCATTAAAATTAGTTCTCTACACTCCAAAAATTAAAATATATTTAATGCATTTATATAAGTAAGAATGTATGATCGGGTTAATATAGGGCATGTGTGTCAGAAATATACAGTATACATTTTTCGATATTGATATTTACTATCCCGTTCTTGTAAATATATCTTACTACTTCAGAGCGCCAGGCTTTCACAGAGCAAAGTAAAAAATTTCCACTCATGTCTAGACAACCGATAAACGATCAATTGTGACTTTTAAACATTGGTATGCGATTATATATTTATTAGGTAACAAATGGATTGGTTATACTCTCGGTAGGTTCATCAATTTAAGGATTATTGAATTTATTAGATTATTTATAATTGTCTCCTCAATATTTTTACACTTTAGATTTATAAAGCAATATATAGTGTAATATTGCTTTATAAATCTAAGTCTTTCTTGTGAAACAAAAGGAAATTACTCTTGATCGACCGAACCTTCTTTGAGATGTACATATTTGAATGTATTATTATAAATCATATTTAATGGATGTGTATCCCAGATGATCCCAAACAAATTATGTTTCCAATAAATCGCAATTCAAGGTTTTGTATAATTTATTATTAAAATAAAATAAACATAGGCATTACGTGTAACAACAATCAGGTTAACTTTTTGTTTAATGCCTAGTCTGCAATCATTCTAAAAACCAAGTTTAGGTGGGGGCGGGAGCACCACTATTAATGTGGATTATGTTCTTGTTTTCGTTGGTTTTAGCATCCTGTGCTTGGGCCAAAGCCACAGCAGCCAAGAGCACAACAAATCCAGCGAGGAACTTCATGATTAATATCTGCCTAGGCGACTCAGCTATTTATATCAGAAGAGTTGCATAAGTGGCACTAATATAATTATCACACAAAATGAACTCTGAAGCATGTCAAAACTAAGAAAATTTTGAACTTTTCCAATAAACCGCTGGCATAACAGACCGACATCCTTTGCTAAAATCTATAATGCCCACAAGGCATTATTTATAAGCAATTTTGATCTATTCTGGCATTCCATATATATTTTTAGATTATTTGTTTGACCATTGGAAAGGAATTTTTTGAAGCTCAATCGAATTCTAGCAACCTAAAAGTAGTTTCAATAGGAATTCGTTTAAAAGTAATTTTAATAATATCACATAAAATAATTAAAGAGCTAATAATAGTGCGATTTTCAAATGAAAAGTTTTAAGTTTTTTGTAAAATAATAAAAACTAGTTATACCAGTTCGATAAAGATAAACGCAGTTTATATTTGTGTTTTTAATAAATTTGTATATTGTAATGATATTGTTTAGACATCAATAGGATTCTTTTTATTGGTAAAATGTCTTTAATAAGATGCTTATTCTCCGCCATTATCTATTATATATTCTTAGGATCAATTTAGTGTCCGTTTATACTTGTATTATAACATATTATTGAAATTAATTTAATAATTATTAATTATTTACGAAGTCATCAGATATATTTTGATTTACCTTTTTATTTTTTAATAAAAAAAGTGTCTGAAAATCCATTCCATTCTGTGGGGCTTAGCCAACATGTCGTGAAATTTGTCTTGGTATTGCAAACACCAGATTTAAATTGCTACATAACACTATAACATACCGATAATTTATTCTAATTTTGAAAATCGAATCAAGCGATTACCCAGGAACACAAAAGCGAACAGTTTTAAATTTCCATTGACCATAATTTTATCATATCAATACAAATTAGGGTGAAAATTCGCTTTCAACACTCATTTAGAACCCGATTTTTTGTGCTTTAACCTTCTCCCGGTGACTACAAACAACATCGAAAATTGTTCACACTATTTTATGCATAGATACAGAACATCTCAAAACATATACAATGAAATGGGCTCCATTATAATAAGTATGCCTGTTATGTCGAACGACGATCGGTTTATTTGGCTGCGGGGATAGCATCAGCGACTGGACCTGGGGCTGCAGCAGGGGCAGCACCAGCTGCAGCTGGGGCACCTGCTCCAGCTTGTTTGCCGATGACGATGACATTGTGATTAGTATTCTTTGATTCGCCGCTAACAATGGCTGCAGCACACACCAAAGTGACGAGAAGAGCAAGGAACTTCATGTTTGCCAGGGGAGAATTCGAATTGAAAACAATGCGGAAGCTTGTCCCCATTTATATAGGCAAAAAGTGATCGCTAGGTGAAACAAATCATCGCATTGGTCACACCTGACATTTTCTGATGTGTTGCTTACGAGAAACGTGTCAAACATTAGAAAGCAATAACCAAAGTTTTGCGCATTTCGAAATAACTTTATAAATTAAACTATATATTTTTAATAAGAATTTCTACATACTTTCAACTTTCTAAAATAGTTTTTGTTGTTCCTAAATATTTTTTTAGTTATATAATATAAGTTTCTTGAAATTTATAAAAATGTTTGCAAGTGATAGTTGTATCAGTAATACAATGTGTATTAAGCGAGTATAATCACAATTTGTGGTGTTAGGTGAAACGAATTCAGCTTTAAGCTAACCGCAATTACGAATTGGGAGCGCAGTTGAAAATTCTCGTAATGAAAGTGTCACGAACGCTAGCCGTTGTAGGTTCCCTAGTTTTCATACTAAGCATTATACTCACATACAACTGGATGACAAATCGTAGACCTTTCAGTGCGATAGCTAAAAAACATATTAACACGAAAATTCAGACGAAGAAAGCACACCCTCTTCCAAAAAAACACATTCTGAGCAAGGCAAAAAAGCTTAAGAAATCTGTGAAACATCCAAAGTTGAAAAAACGTTCGAAGCCGGTGGCCCATCAACCTAAATTAAAGCCAAAAAAGCAGAATAGAGTTCCAGCAATTCCGCTGCTCGATATTTTTAAGGCAAAAAATCAGCCAAGGCGAGGGCAAACTATATTCTTTCATGAAACCACGAATTTTCAGAAGGACGAGAAGGTCCGCCTGATTCAATTGACGGCCCGCGAGGCGTGTGCCATTGAGTCGGCCGCCCTTCATAATCCACGCCTCACTGTATTTGTGCTGTTCGCTGGTGCCACTCATCGGAAATCTAGTAATGATTCGCTGGTAAAGGCTTTAAGTAAATACAAGAATATAAGACTAAGACATCTGAATGTGTGGAGCTATGCAGCCGGCACTCCCATCGAAAAATGGCTGAAAAATGGAAAACTATTTAAATCGAAATTTCTATTTCCGCACGTCTCCGATCTTCTACGCTATGTTACCCTATATAAATATGGTGGCTTGTATCTGGACCTCGATGTCGTGGTTCAACGAAGTCTGGAGAAGATGCCACCAAATTTCACGGGGGCTGAGAGTAATAAAAACCTGGCCTGCGGTGTCATGAAAATGTCCTCCACCGGTTTGGGCCATAAGATTGCCACCTTGTGTCTGCTGGATCTGCAAGCCAACTACGATGCCAATAAATGGGGCAGCAATGGACCCGGGGTCATAACCAGAGTGGCTAAAAGTCTGTGCAACACCGATAGCATTCAGGCAATGATTAACAACCCAAAACGCTGCAAGGGTTTTAAGGTCTACGATGCAAAAGCCTTTTATAGCATTCCCTGGTTGCAGTGGAAAGATTTCTTTCAACCCATCAGACTCAATGTAACCATGAAAAGAATTTCCAATTCCTCTGTGGTTCATTTTTGGAACAAGTTCTCACGAGGATGGAAACTGAAGACAAAGGACATATGTGTTTACACCAAGTTGGCCAAAACCCACTGCCCAAAGTCGTTTGCAGCAGCGGGAACTTTTTTTTAATTCTTGGTTTTATCTAGTTTAAAATTAGGTGCTGCTGTACAAAATGTAATCAAATATTATTTATAAATTTTAAAGAAGACAATGTTAAGACGTTGTTTTATTTTTGGATCAGTAAAAGTAATATAAATATTTAATATATAAATATGTACTATATAAATACAACATATTTTTCAATATTTATTTCGATAAAAGGTACATTTTAAAAACATCACTGTTTTTTATTAAGTAAGTTATCATGTTTTATAAAAAGCTATACACCACAATTTATTTTTTTTTATTAATTATTTTATTTTATCATAACATTTAAAAAATGAATGGAAGAATAGGTAATGACTTTTAAGTTTTTATCTTACATTCAAAAAGAAAATTAGATCGGCTAACCAGACAGACAAAGTTTCCAACGGAACCAATCTGCTTAAAATTTAATAAGTCGAATTATTATGATTGATGCTGGGATGAACTAATTGTTCCTTGAAATATTCATAATAAATTCCCAGGAGCATTTAAATTTATTCCTTATCTTTGTTGTCATGGCGCAATGAAGAACTAATTAATTGTTACCAAATAAAGGAAAGTAAATAGCCAGAAGCAATTTTAGAATGGGCATTATTAACATTTTGGAGAATATCTGGCGGCGCTTTCAAGTTTTAAATAAATATTTTCGCATCATTAAATGTGAGTCAGACAGTGCTTTATTTATGCAAAACACAATTTCCCAATTTATTTATACCTTGTATTTATATTCAAAGCATTTCAGAGGGCAGTGGAAAGTGGATTTGGCAAACCGGAGTGGAAGGAACTAATGCCCGAATTTATTGTGACTTTTGGCACTGCCTGCAACAGCTGCTCCACATTATGGGTGACACCCAAAAACTCCAATCCACCCAACTAAAATAGAGGAAAACGACCAAAGCTCACACATGTGTCTCCTGCTCAGTTTTATCTGCTGCGCTGCACGCGGCACATTTGCATATTTCGTGCACAGGAGGAGCTGAGTTTTTATTTTTGTTTCATTTTTATTAATGCGAAAAATGTAATTTCAAGCATTTGCAACTGCAGCGGACCCTTGAGAAAAAACGACAGTCAGCCCCAAAAAAAAAAAATTGGCATGTGGAAAAATGCTAAAATTTTGTAGAAGGCAAAAGAACGAAATTCATTTATAACTCGTTGACTAGGGATATGAACACATCGGGTCGAATTTAAAATCTGTATGTTCCAGTTTGCTCAAATTAAAGTTTCATCAGTTTTTCGATGGTATAACTATGTGAAATATTCCATATTGGCGAGATTAGAATATTTGAATAGAATTTGTGTTTCTGGGAAACCCAATTTAATTTTGTTTTGTTTTGAATTTAATGCCTAGATGGAAATATAATAAAATGAGGTTTAGCCAAAAATTTAATTTTTTTTAGAATTAAACTGTCAAGGCTGAATAAATGGTCAATAAAAAATTTATATAACGATTTTATTTTGATTTTCATGTACATTTTTATTGGTTTAGCTGAAATTTGTTATTTTCAAATATTTAACAGAAATCGCGTTTAGGCTAATTAATTAAAATATTTTAATTATATTTATATTTTTAGGTAAACTAATATTTGCGTTCTTAAATTTATTAATAACCAAATAAAATGTCAACTTTTTTCTGTTTTTATTTAAATGCTCCATTATCACGTTTGTACTAACAATTACCAAAGCAATCAAAACACTTGATTAGATTTCTCCTTTTTAGTCTCAGTCTGACGGTTTCACTCTTAACTTTTGGCTTATGTCATGTCCACAGGGTCAACATGAAATTCGGCTCCGTTACTTTCATTTGCATTTGTCACGCTCGTTAGTCTTTCGGTATTCCCATTGGGAAATACGTAGTTTTTGATATCGAATGACAGCCACGTGACCGGAATTTCTCCCTGGCCAAACAAAAACTAATGCCGAGTGAAGTTCAAGTAATGCTTACTAAGCTGAAAAGTTCTGCTCTCGGTGTAATGCAGGCATAGCAATGTTTTTTTAACTAATGCACAAGCGACAACATCACAGGACTCAGGTTCCTCGGTTCTTTCAGCTCATAAATAAATATAAAAATTACTGTAATAGTTTTCAGCTTTTATTTTACTTGGCAGCGAGCAACGTATAAATGCCCAAGAAAAGCTCTTTGAGATAAAATCCATTGGCTTTACCTAAGCACTGGTAATAGGATGAAACGAATGTCTGAGCTCCTCTTGGTCACAATGCAACGGCCTGAAATAAGGACTTTGTGGTAAGTAATGATTCAAAGCGAAATGAGGGACAGGATAATAAAAAGAAAGTGTTCTGAAATATAAACGAAAATACCTGTAAATGTAAGAAATCAAAATAAAAAAATTTATTGTGCCGATGCATAAGAGACTTTTATTTTTCAAAGCCAAAGTGGAAAGCAAATAAGACTCCATTCACCATTGGTTTAAATCGCAAAACATACATAATTAAAAAAACCAAAGCTGGCTTAAGAAGATTTTCTACCAGAATTAAAATCCCAACACCTTTCAAATGCGTCCTCAAACAATCTTGTAAATATTACAATTATTTAAATGTATTAAAGCTAAAAATAAAGAAATTTAATTTTTATTTTTATTATCTTAATTAAAAATATTTGTTGTACCTCATTATCTTTTTGGCGTATGAAGAAGTAATACAAATTTAATAGTTTTATTATTAGTATACGTCCCTCTAATCAATTCTCTGTATGTTTCCCAAGAATTTTTAAAATTTCCAAAAGTAACTTCAAAAAGCCACTTAAAAAATTGTATTCCAGTCGAATTCAAAGTTCGTTTCAATTTAAACATGCACCTGTATTTTGTGCAACGGGAAACACAATCTAAAATTTAAATGAAACTCCCAAGCGACTTGATTAAATTTCAACAATGATTGCACAGCGAAATGAATGCTGCGGCACATTGAAATTTTGCGAATGAGCGCGTCGAAATGCAGCACGTATTTGCATTATGATTATTATTGTGGCAGTGGCCACACTCGCAACAATAACAGCAGAAGAAAGCGGGAGCGGAAAAATATAAAGCCAAATATTTTTGGGGCTGCCACAAGGAAGTGGCCAAAAGCGCACTTTTCATAATCTCTTGCATTTTATGGTCGGCAGCGGGAAAACAAGCATCCAGTTGAAAATTCAAATGAATAGCAAATTGCGGCACACGCTTATTCGCGCAATGCCACAAAGGCTTTTCCGAAAATTTCCCAACCCCTGCTCATCTTGGAAAAAGCCAGCCGACAAACCCCATCCGGTCTTGACTACGGAAACAGCTGTTTCCTTTCCACAGACACAACTCCCGACCCCATCCCCGCATGCCTCGAAGATGCTGCGGAATTGTTATTACATTTTATGCCAATTCAGCAAATTTTCCATGTGCATTTCTGAATTCAAACCAAGGAGTTCGAGGTGAGAAACTTTAGTTTGCCTTAGCTTAATTAAAGCCACCGACCTCCGAGAAAAATGGAACACATTAACTTAAACTTTGCTACCAGTAAGTAGGCCACAAAAATGAAGTTTAAAAATCTTGAAGACTTAACTTTGCGGTTGTTTTTTTTTGACTGCACAGAAAGTTTATAATTTTGCATCCTAACCTGAGAAAGAAGACTTAATTCGAAATATGAACTTACTCCATAAGATAAAGATTTAAAAGATTTTATACAATTTTAAATTATAATTTAAACATTTAATTATTTGACCTAAAATATAACTATTTTCCATAAGAATTGTACTTGTTATGGAATTATTGTTTTTATTTTAGACTTTAACATTCGTTAAGTAAATGCATTATTTGGAAATGGAATTAACACACTATTCTTATTAATAATTATAAGAAAGCGAGTATTGGTTGGTGTTAAAGTCCTTATCAGTTTCTGCTAAATATGTAAGTTTAAAGAGAAAACAAGTCAATATATGTTATATATATATATTGTTTGATATGAAAATTTTTACAAAACAATACTATTCCTTACTTTGCAACAAATATGAAAGCTAATAGGGTATTAGCAAACAAAAAGGGGGTGAAAATGGGAACCTAGGCACGGGGAAAGCAATAAAATCTTCGTACAGAGGAAAATAAATGAGCTCTGGCCATGGAACTTAAAGTTTGGACCGATGCGGTACGAAGGCGACTTCCCGCTAATTTTGTATGCAGCCCACACAAATCTTGTCATTATTAAAGACTCCGAACTCAACCTCAAACTGGACTTTGCGGCTGAACTGGTGTCTGCTTTTTGCTCGTTTGATTTGCTCCATTAATTTTGAGCAGAGTTCTGGCCGGGCAAAAAAGTTCTCTAACAGCAAAATGGGATCCTGTTGGGCCCGTTGATTTGTGTGGCGCTTTTCTGGGTGATTAAGTCATTCATCAGGCGGCGGCGAAGGACTAAGAGGCCATTTTCTTAACGCGGTTTTCTAATGAAGCGTCATACCGAACAATTAAAGGTTGCGTACTGTCCTTGGCTTATCAGTCGCCAATATTTCCACTCACTTTTTTCAATTAAAAAGTTTCGCCTCTGTCATGGTTACGCAATAAATTTCCAAGCTGCGCCGGGCCAAGGGGCGTATGCGTAATAAGCATTCAATGATTGGGCACACGGAGCGGATCTTAGCCCATTTAATTGGTATTAATAATGATTCTGGACCAAGGTCCAAGCTGTTGCCGTGCAACCTGCTAGAATGAGAGCTTACGGAGTGGGAGTGATTGGGCCAACGGGAAAAGACATTAATACTCAAAAAAAAATTTAAGCAAACTAACCAACTGTAGGCAAAAGTTTTGAATAAATGTCACATTATTTTTAAAACATATTTTAAAAACTAAAAAAAAAATTCTACATAATATCAAATTATGGTAACATATAGTTATATATTTGTACTTTTTTATTTTATTTTGAGAAATAATATCTGCTTTGTAGTTACGCTAAACTAAAAAAAAGTGTATATAAGCTTTTTTTGAGTGGACCATGGGGTGTGGGTGGCAGAGCATCTGTGAAGGTCATCGGGTAAGTAGTTTAGTTGTGCCATTGGCATGCTCAGCAGTG